AAAGAAAGCTTCTACAGAGCCCCAAACCCGTCCCCCCCCCCCTCATCTCCTCTGTATCTCACTGTCTCTGTGATTATACTGATGTTGATGCAGACTGCAGTGCAGAGTCTCTGTCCTGCAGCTCAGGGCTCAGACGCACGCACTGTGACGCACTTCACCTTGTAAACACGTTATCGCCCTGAGGCGTTATGTCTAGAACCTCTGCTAGATTAAATAAAGTTTGAATCACTGCTATGACAGTGAATTAGCTTCTTCACCTTGACACTTGGCTCATTGCTGATTAATCTGCTGACTATTTTCTAGTTTCAAGTACCCAATTTGTGTAGCAAATAGTGAAAAATCCCCATCATAATTTCGCATGTCATGGTGACATTTTCAAATGTTTGAATGTTTTGTTTTGTCAAACCGGAAGTCCAAACTTCAAAGATATGGAGTGTACGCACACAGAAGGCCATGAAAACCAGAAAATGTTCACATTTAAGAAGCTGGAACAAGCAAATGTTCTGTCCATTACTAATCAATTCATGGTCTAATTGTTTCAGCTCTAAAAAAAACAGTCAATTTATTTCCTGGAATCAATCTGTTTCACAGGTTTTGTGTTATTTTGTTTCTGGTGGTTCTTTAAATTGTGGAATAAATGCTTTAAGTGCAGAACTAAGAGCATTTCCTGGAGTTGCTGTTGTAAGACTCTTTGACATCATTTAAAATTTATGTAAGCTATCTGTCAACATCTTTATCACTCAGTCTCGCTCCATCTAAGACAATATCCAGTGAGGGATGTTTGGTTTTCATCTGTGCCGTGACCATTTTTGAGATTTTTTCCCCTCTGACAGCAGACGTAGTCCTGTCTGATAGTCCCGAACAGTGGACGTCTTTGTTAGACATGAAAACAACTTGACTTGATTTTGTAGTCCGTGGAGGCATAAAGAAAGGGCAGAAACATAAATCAGTCAAGGATTAACAACGGGCAGGCACATGGCTCGGCATCTACAGGAGAAATGGGAGTAGGATCAACTGACCTGACAGGTCCCAAAACCACAGCTAAGGAGATAAAGACTGAAGATACTCTGTCCTCAAAACAAACGAAGGGAATATTCAATTTTGCAGGGGGGTTATTTTCAGAGGGCCACAAACATAAGACCCAGCAGGTGAAGCACAGAAGGATAGTGGTTTCAGATGTTTCTAGGGTCTTTATTTTAACAGCAAAACTGAAAAACACAGGCATATACTGTAGATTATACACTTACAGTGAGGTTATGATAAAATAAAATAAAATATGCTCTGCTCTTGGAACAACAACAGTGGTCAACAGCTGACAGCTTTGCTAAAAAGGAAATTAATCTGCCACCATTTCGCTATGATTATCAGGTATGGGAATTAAGAACCGGTTCCACTTGAGAACCAGTTTCACATTGTCCGATTTATCTGAATCGTCAAGCTTATCAATTCCTTTCAACTGATGCCGGCATGTTTTTCTGACAGCGTGCATTGCAAAACAATGACGTCAAACTGCGCTTGTGCTGCTGGAACAACAACAACAACAAGAAGTCATGGTGGAGAGTAACAAGCTAGTTGTAATGTCTGTAAAATTATCATTTCATGTTAGGGTGGAAACACCAGAAATATGCTTTTCTGTGCAACATGGGCTTGAATTCCAGGAATGCCATGTCTTTGAAACCCTACGCATGGGTGCCACTGCTTGCCACCTCAGAAGCACGTTTGGTTATTACCAATGGTAAATATGTTATAATAACAGGGGACAAATCAACAAGGGAATCAATATAGAACTGGAAGATTTGATAATTGCACTGGTATCAATGCAATCTTATCACTTCCCATCCCTAATTAGTCATTTTTCCAAGAACAAACGCCAATTTACTTCTATGCAGCTTCTCAAATGAAAGGATTTTCTTTTTTGTCATATATGTATGTAAGACAAATATGTATGTATGGCTTTTAACTAACTGGCAGAATATTCAATGATGATTATAAACATTACTCGCAGCTCTACATTTAATCAACATTTCTTCTGCTGCTCATCTCATTTTCAGGTTGTAGCTGCGGGTTGTCAATACTAATTAAGCTGCCACTCAAAACTGTTTCCACTTTCTCAGCCAACAAAATGTGATTACAGAATTGGAGTTTATGCTATCAAACCCTAATCGTGTTTCTGTTTCTTGGCATGCTGTTACACATCAAAGCGGTATTAGAGCAAATTCTTCTGCATCATAGATCCAGACTGAAAAAGCACAGACTCTACAAGACTGCGGAGAAATGCTGAAGAACAACCGACCACAATTCTTGCTGTTAATTTAATTTTGTCAGAGTAAAAATCACTTTCTTGCCAAATAATAGATCTGTCACATTGTGCTGACACAAACTAATGAACTCCTGTTCACTTCAACCTCTCAGCTGCCTGATTAACACAGTTCTCAAGCTGACACGACTTTGGACTTTCACCTCTATAAAGCTACATATTGCTGACCTACATAAATGTAAGCCATCAGATTTTACTGGGATTTGATGGGATTCAAAGATCAGTTATGCAAGTTAAAACAGCCTTGATGGCCCAAGTAACTGTCTTTGACTCTGCAGTGCATTATTTCTGCTTCGGTCACAGGTTCAGAGAGTCCATTTCTTTATGTAAAAGTCATTGAGTGGGACTCTGAACTCTGCCTACAGATTGCTCTGAATACAGGTGTCAGTAAAATTGCTTTAAATGCCTTAATTAGTTTATTGTAACACAGTATGTCAGTGTGTGTCACAAAACTAGACACAGGCCAATTCCTCGTATGTTTAAAGTTGCTGACACAGCAAAATGTGAACTTCACAAAGAGTTTGGACAGAGCAAAGGTCCAGCTGGAAGTCAGAAAAAAATTGCTGTATCTGCACAGCGATGCCTTCAAAACAACGTTACAACTGACAGCTTGGTTTCACAGACACAGTGAACACTTGGGATTTTAAGTCTTATCTTCTGACAGCCGTTACGTGCACATGATTACATGCACATCAGTCAAATTAGTAAAAAAGTGCTCGAGCACACAGATAACCTGCATACACATTCAATACACGTGTGTGTGTGTGTGTGTGTGTGTGTGTGTGTGTGTGTGTGTGTCTCTGGACTGACCTCCAGCGCCGTCTCACATCTGTTGATGTCGTCAGTGGACTGGTTGAGTTTCTCCAGCTCCCCCTGGAAGAGAGGGAGCAACAGAGTGAGGAGGAGGAGGAGGAGAAAGGAATGTAATATAATATCTGGAGGTATAGGAGGAGGAATGAACAACATCTGGAATGAATCAAGAGTAACACAGCACCCTATGGAATTTGAAGATATTCATATTAAACTGAGGCCCAGTCTTAGGTTTACATTAGTGAAACTGTGAGATAAACACAGCACTAAATATAAAATATTAACTATAATATTCTATCTAGCAGTGTAGTTGCTAATTGCAATGCCCTCGCCTCACTCTCCTGTTCCAAGCTTGTAGGAGAAACTATGGCCACAAATCTCGTGAAAAACATGAATAGTGTTTCAACATGGCGGGCTTTCATTTCTGCCCATAGATCCTCCTAAACGTTGTCCTAAACTGTTAATCTGCCGATGTACAGTACAGACAGTTAGTGTCACACAGGTTACCTGAGGCTACATCTTGTTTAAATATGGCTTGATAAATCTGGGGGTCCTTGACACCAAAAAGCTGGAGAACCACTGTTTGAGATGACAATTTTGTTAACCAATTCATCTTTTTCCCTCCCTCATTTTTTACAGTCTATAATCGATACTGTCTGGTCCATTATATCAGCTATTCTCTGTTTGTTATGCAGTTAATGCTTGAGACTCATTTTAGCTCATTATTCTTTGTATTTTAGTGAAAGACTAAAGACTTTGCATGACTGAACTGGTTTAGTCACATTTGCATCAGATTAGAACTGTAAAGAATTCTGTTAGAAACAATATCAGATGTAAACTGAACAGGTAAAGTTGAATGTTTCTTATATTTGAAATATATAATATTGATATGATTGAGGAAAAGCAGAGGTAGCATCCTGCTGGGACTTTGTTCTCTGGTAGCTGGTGTGGAGACCACAACTGGCTGGACTACAATGAACCCGAATCGATGGAAACCAATAATCAATACTGTGGCTGTGAGGATTACCTGGATTCTGGGGTCCACCTCCTCGTCTTCATATTCGGTCTCCTCGTCCGACCTGTGCTCCTTCTCTGAATGCTCCATGTTGGAGGTGAAGGAGGACAGATGTCACACAACCGAACAAAGACAGACGTTACTACCGGACTCAGAGAGACCGCAGACGCATCTGTCTCAGCCGGTCACCACACGGTACACTGATGCTTTCCCCGCCTTAGTCCCCGAGCTTAATTAAGTTAAAATGTTTTAAAAGGAGGGCTTTTGGAAGAGGACCATCCTGGCTTGTATCCACCGTGGCCGAGCAGCTGCGTCTCTCCCCGCTCTGCTCTCCCTCCACACTGAGCCCGGTGCTGAAATGACCGGAGCTCTGCTTCAGACCGGGAACGCCCCCTTCTGTAAGCAGAGCAGTGTATGAGGGGTAATCAGTGCCAAAATAATAAAGTCGAGATTAAATTAAAAAATTACATTTTAACCCATTCAGGTCATATTGTGCAACAACATGTGCCAAAGAAATTACAAAAAATTACATTTCTTTGTATTCTTATATCAAAACCTAATTATTTTCTTCCAGTAAAACAACATGTGCTTAAGTAAGCTTAAAGCAATTATTTCAACCAATAATGATATCTATCCATCAATCTCTCTTTAATTTTAACACACTATAAATTGACATAAAGACTAAAAAGTATAAGTATTCAGATATTAGGAGATATTTCCCACATGTTCTTCTGCACAAGAAACAAATAAGTTACAGCAGTTGTTTCAGCTCTGCAGTGGCAGTATATGACAAATGTATATCATGCAGGAAATGAAAACTGGTAGGCCTATATCGGTTCATCTGATATATCGGCCAGCATTACCTCACTGACTATTTACTAACTTTATCACTGATGAAACTGGATCATATATTCCAATCTGATGTCCTCTGCATGCTCTGCCTCATCTGCTGTAGTTGTTGTTGGTGTGCAATGGAACCGGACTGAGACTGAACACAGACAGACAGACAGAGGCTTTAATATAAGATAAAGAAATTGACTAATGTTGTTGTTCCTGTATTGTTTTTTGTTGTTGTTTGTTTGTTTTTTAGAAAACATTGTTAGAAAAGTGTACAATATGGCTGAGGTGTGATCTAAAAGGCTTTAGAGGCCTTAGAGGGCACTTTATCATGTTTATCATGTTTAATTTACAGGCTTCCAAAAGGGCTCTTTTGCAGCAGTTAGGTTGGCACCAGATTTTTCTGATTATGCTCAGTTTTACATAAGTAACATTTTCAGAGCAGGACCTGTAACAGAGTATATTTACAGTGTGGTATTATGATCTACAGATTGCCATGCCATTTGTGGGCCCACACAGTCACGTAACACAGAGGATGACTTCCAATAACTTTGTTGATCCCCTGACTTTTTATTATATAATTATATTATTATTAAGTTTTAGTAAACAAGTGATGTACATTTTGGAAGTTTTATTTAACTACTGCTATTTCAGTGAATTGTGTATCATATTAATATTATTTGGTTCATTAAAAATCAATGAGTGGGCATCATTAATAAGTTTTACACTTTTACTTAAAATGGTCATTTTCATGAATATATTTCACAATAAATGTCTCAACTTATTTTCCAGTGTTCTATATCCTGATAAATAATGTCACTCTCACTGTGTGATAGGTCCTGCCCTTTAAACTGAAAGATGCTAATGTTGTCCTGCGTATTTGTGTCAACATGTACTGTGACACACATCTTTTCTCTTACTCAATAACAGATAACATTTTTGTTATTTGCCCTCAATACTGCCGCCACTGTTCTTAGAAGCACTGGTCAACGAAGCTGCACATAAAGATCATTTTATTAAGTTAGAAACTATACAGAGAAACCGCTCCTAATGTAATTATCCTGTAGTTAGATATGAAGCTTCACATACTGCACACAGTTCTGTGCTTTGAAGTAACAAAGAGTTTTTATTTAGCGCCATGCCTGATAAGCTAAATGACTAAAGAATTTGATTAGTTTATGAGTGTGTGGTGCATTTTCATCGAAACTATTTTTTGTCATCACAAACAACAATTCATTTTTGTCAAATTTAGATCTACATCTAGATGGCTTTTTATTGCCTCCTAATTTAAGCAGCAGCAAATGTTGTTAAGACAGTTTCCCAGAATAATTTGTAGTTAGACAAAAGCTTGTCTGTTGGCCTCAAAATGCTTATAGATGTAAGACTTTGCTCTTTCTTTGAACAGCAGACCAAATGCTTAGATATAGGCCTATTAAGTATATTTTTAAGTTTTTCTTCCACCTGTTAAACTCAAAAAGGCTATGGGACCCTGTAGAAGCTTTAGTGCCCCCTAGTGGGGATCCCGACCCCCTGGTTGGGAACCACTGCTTTTGTGCATCTTCAAGTCTGAAAGTCGTACAGCACCTTGGAACACAAACTCAAATGGAACACAAAACCTTCATATCACTCTCAAAATATTTCAGATATGTAGGACGACTGAGCGTTTCTACAGAGATAGATGCACACTTTCTTTCAACATACTGGCATCACCCATTACATCTTTTGTTTTCATTCCTCCTGTTCACCAGAGGAGAAAGAACTGAAAGCACCAAGATAAAAAAATAGGCCTGAGGTGACATGTTGCATAACTATGTGCCTGCTTACCTCAATGAGCAGCTGAGACAGAAACAATTTAGATACTTAAGGCACTAAGGAAGGAAGAGACAACCAGCCGAGAAAAAAAGGAAAAAAGAAATAACCTTAAGTGACTTTTCCAGCAGACTTGCCACAAGAGGATAAAGATGGAGGCATTTCATCATCATCAGGTGTTTTATAAGAAAGCAGGAAAGCTGCCTCTAGTCTAGATACAACTTTGCATAACCCAAACTGCCCCCATCTTCTTCCCCTATAATAAACAGAATGTAATAATACTGAAATATTCACCAAGCACATGGATTCACTGCAGCATAAAACATGGACACAAACGCAACACAAACTGCATCTACAGAGCAAATACAACAAAAAGTGCTATGCATCAAATTGAAACATGACACATCATAAAACACTAATATTTTAAAAAAAAAATTACCTGGTTTAAAAAAACTTTGTGAGTTCCTCAAGTTTACATGGATTCATCTAATCATTAGTCTAAAGGTCCAAACATTCTACAATTAAAAACATACTCATGTTGGGTATTAATTATTAATAATTTAATTTTTAAACATGTATATACATGGCTCTACTTGGAATAATAATTTAAATCTGATGTGTTCTTTTCACCCCAAAAATGTTCAATTATCTTGTTAAAAGCTTTGAAATGAAATCAAATAATGTGACCTATAAATTTTGATTTTTTTAGAACACACCCTGCAGTGAATAAACACTCTCATTTCAGAGATTCAAATCTGCTTTGTCAGCATTGCATGCTTGGATTTCAAATCGAACAGGTTACACAGCTAACATGGGAAAAGGCAGGTCAAACTGCTCTGTGGAACTAACAGCATTCAGAGTCATTGCTCCCCTGTGGTAATACCGCTGTGAAAGGGTGGATTACACCTACTTAAAAGGCCTCTTCTAGTAACACTGAAGGTCAAGATGTAGATATGCTGACATGTCACATTTTTAGAGACCTACTTTCCCCACTCTCTGCAGGGCTGCAACCTGATAGGCCTGCTGAAAAAGACCACCGACACCCTGCAGAACCTGAAGGATATCCAGAGTCACGTCAGCATGTTCTGGGTCTCCTCGGTGATTTGTCTGAATAACAGGATATGTCAATGTCATATGTCTTCTCACTGCTCCTAAACCTCGGTCACAACCCTGGCTTACTGACCACCGTGTGTGTGTGTGTGGGTGAGGGTGTCTGTCTATGGCTATTAGTTTACTGTCATCATGATATATTGCTACTCCAGACAGGAGGATCTGTCTTCAGAAAGTAAACTGGCGTTGATGTATGGAAAATATATTTGCTTTTCTCTACTGGGAACAAAATGAAGACTTGCATACATTTTTATTTTTAAATATATGAATAAAAAGTATAAGGGATTGGTATGACACAATTCAGATTGCATTTCATAAAGACTCCCTTTGTGATTTACCCTACCTACACTGTGTGGGAACTTTTTGCAAGGAAAAATAAAGAGCTGCACATCAGTTTTGCCATTCCATACATTTTTCTTTGTTCTGAATAAGGACAACTGAGGATTGCACCCAAGACAGATAGAAGACATTGGTAGTGGTTTGGTCGACTTGGTACTGGTTGGGTTTATTGAGTTAGGTGGATGAGGGTGAAAATGGGATGTGTTGTTTTTTGGAGGATGTAATTTGTGGCGAGTGGGTTATGGGAATAGTATTTATATTTTAGTGTATCTTGTTTTTTTTGAGTGTTTTATAGGTAGCGATCTCTTGAATATGAGGGGTTGGGTGAATCCATCCTTTGGGCCGGTTGCCTGGTTCCCATTGAAAGTTCTGGCGAGGTGCTGGGATCTGGGCCTTTGTGGTTCTTGACTTTTAGGTGTGCATCTCTGTAATTAAACCTGGGCACTTAATGGACGTCTCACCGTTTTTCTGCATAATTTTAATTTCACTTGCCTTCATGTTGCTTTGGAAGGGGAGGGTGAAGCGCAGGTGAGTTCTGCAATCTGCCAACTACGCTTGCTAGATGCCACTAAAGTTTGTAACGACTGGATTCCTTTATGTTGAATGAATTAAGGTTAATGTTACAGATATTGAAGTGAATTAGAGTGCGTGGATAAGTGGGGATGTGGGATTGTGGTAGTTGTTGATACGTTGAAGCCGTAATAATTGAGTTGAATACTGGGATACACAGCTGTGTTGTATGGATAGTTGGACTAGTGTGGTAGTTGCTGAATAAGTTATACACATTATTTATGCAAAATTTCCAACATTATTGGCTGAAATAATTCGTAGCCCGTGCCAGGTGTGGACAGGTTTTGGCGCGTACCGTGGTCAGCAGAATTTTCCTGATATGGCCGATCCTGAGGTATAGTATGGGGTTTTGGTTGGTGATAATTGAAAGAAACCATTGGAGGTGTGTTGTCTGATAGAGGGGAGCAGCGATTATTCACCCAGACAAAGTGTTGCCCTGTGTTGCCTTTTCGTGAATCTTGGCGCCAGTGGTACCTGGCACTCCTGCGCCACTATCTCCCACAGATGGAATTCATTATTTCTCAACCATGTATGTTCGCGTTGTTTATTACTATTTGTTGTCAATGCTAATGGAGATATTAAACTATTAGCTTTTTGGATCCTGCTCTTGGGCCTGGCGATTTGGGTGGGAGTAACTGTTTGGATAGTGTTTAGGTAGGTCAGGTCTAT